TTCTTGACCATCATGATTTCCATTTCTGTTTGGTGAAACGAAATAAAAACTGAAATGCCCTAACCATAAGTAATTTTCACAATAGCACCTGCATAACTTTTACGTTTTCCCAAGCCTTCTTTGCCTTATAGCCGTTAAGGTTTTGACCTTTCTGTTCAGGCTTCATCCCTAACTGACTAATTTTTTAGGTCTGTTAAGCCCTGGACCCTGTCTGGTTTGACAATTGACAAGGAAAGGGTGAAGCAAATTTTTTTTTGTTTTTTTTGCAATGTCTATTGTAAAATTGGAATAATCACTCACCAGTCCCCCCCCCCCGGGGGAATCTCTTTTTAGTAGTTTTTAGAAGAAGGGGCATAATTTTATTTTATATATATATTTTTTTTGTGAATCAGTGTAAGCGTTATTTTTTATCTTCTAAATCACTTTATTCACTTTATTCCCTTCTCATTTCCATTTTTTTATATCAAATCGGGATATGGCAGGTTTTTTTTTTTTTTTTTCCTCGCTAAGCATCTTTAAGGTGATTAAAAGAAAAAAAGAAAAAACTTGCTCTTATCAGCCATTAATATTCAATATTGGAGTGAAGAAATACCAACTTCTTACTAAGCTACTGTAATCTTGGTCTTCACCAATATAAATCTTTGTCCATACAGAAATATGATGTTGTGGAGGATAAAAAGTTCAGAGAGAAGGGATGCATGTTTGATTAAGCAATGTGGACTGTTGAATATCCCTCTCAGTCTCTCACTGTATGCTGATAAAAATAACTGAGAGTCAGGCTAATTTGCTAAATTTATGTATGCTTTTTAGTTTCCACATAATCTTTTGTACCAATTCTTTTCTTTTTTCCCCTTCTTTTTTTCTCTTATCAGTTCTAAAGGGAGAGTAGTTAGAGGAGACAATCTTATAGCATTAATTGGTGGTCATGGATCAATCGGAGCAGGCACAACAGCAGCCGCAAATCATGCAGCAGGAGTTGCTGCCGCCGCCCTGGCCAGATGGCCTATTCTACTCACTACCAGACTGCTCCCATGGTAGCTTCTGGAACACCTGCTGTAACTATACCTTCCTCAGCACAGCCTCCAGCCCCGTTCTCAAATTCCCCTCACCAAATTGCTTACCAGCAAGCACATCATTTCCACCATCAAAAGCAGCAGCAGCAGCAACAGCAGCTTCAGATTTTTTGGGCTGACCAACTGCGAGAAATTGAGCAAACGACTGACTTCAAGAATCACAGTCTTCCACTTGCTAGGATAAAGAAAATAATGAAAGCTGATGAGGATGTCCGGATGATTTCAGCAGAGGCCCCAGTCATATTTGCGAAAGCATGTGAAATGTTTATCCTGGAGTTGACTCTGCGCTCATGGATCCACACAGAAGAAAACAAGAGGAGAACACTGCAGAAGAATGATATAGCTGCTGCAATTTCAAGGACTGACGTATTCGATTTCTTGGTTGACATTATCCAAGAGATGAGTTGAAAGAAGAGGGGCTTGGAGTAACAAAAGCTACAATTCCGGTTGTAGGTTCCCCAACTGATATGCCATATTATTATGTCCCACCACAGCATCCTGTAGGACATACTGGGATGATCATGGGAAAACTAGTTGACCAGGCAGCACTATATGCTTCACAGCAGCCTCGACCTCATATGTCTTTTATGCCGTGGCCTCAAACACAACCATCACAACAGCCACCGCCACCTGATCAGCAACAAACAGACACTTGACAACTATGGCCAATCAAATTAGAAAACAGAATGCGTCTTCTGATTGCTAATGGTTAACTTCTAAGGCTTTTATGCAGCAGTAGTTTAGTCTTCTTCATTGGCAACTGCAAAGTCCTTGCCATATATGCAGTGCTTGCATTGCATTAAAATGGTGCTTGTATGAGCTCTGATCTTTGAGCATTTATATGGCTGAGTTTGGTTTCAGTAATTGGTTTGGTAGTTACACTAGTTTGGGGTAGTTCTCATGTAGAGTTTAGGAAGTCGGAGGTTGATGGGAAAAAGGGTCTATTTTGCGCTGTAATTTTTATGGAGGCTGGTTGATTTCTACATTACATTTTATTATGATGGATAATTTTCGATCTCGTGATTCAGGTCCTCTCAGTTCCTCGTCTCTGGCAACTTAGCAAGTTCGTAGGTTTGTCAAGGTTTTTGAATAATGATAATTCGTTAGTCCTCACCAAGTTTGAAGATTGTATGGCTTCCAAGGGTGTTCATGGGACGTCCCAGTCCCGTTCCTGGTGAATAGGGATAGGATAGGGATTTTGTCCCGTGTCCTGATCCGTTCTGGTTCTGTCTCAGTCTTAACAGAATCGGGATGGATAGGGACATCCTGTTTCCCTTTTTTATTAAATATATATAATTTTTAGATGAATTTTTTTATGTTATAATGTTTATTTTTATTGAGTTTCTAAGATAAAAACATCATTAAAAATATTATGTAGAATGCGCAATTATATAGTATAAAAAATGTAAAAATAACTGTGAAAAAAATACAGGAAAAAAAAACACTTTATAATATCTTTATGAATTATTTTATTGAGGAATGAGATTTTTGTTAAGATACTATATTAAGAACTAAAAATCACTATAAAAATAATTATTATTATTAATAAGTAAATTTAATAATTTAATAATAATTATTAATAAATAATTTTTAAAAAAAATATTTCGGGCCATCCCGTTCCAGTCACTATTCCCGTCCCGTACCTGTTCTGTCCAGAAATTTTTTTGTTCTGTCCTGTCCGTCTCGAACTCACCGAGACCAGGATGAGACAAACCGGGACAAGACAAACTGAACACTCCTAGTTCCAACACTGAACATTATGCACATGTATGATTTTAATAAAATTTAACAGTAGGAAATGGTAATTTATTTATATTTTTTAAAAGTAAAATACCCGGCCAAAATTTATAATTACTCTTCACATGCAAGTAATCTTAGCCCTTGTTCGAATTAAATTTATGGAATTATTTGACATGGGGAACAAATTGAAAAAATAAAATAGATCAATGAAATGTTTCAAAAGATTATCAAGATTAACCAGCTTAGATTTTTTCTTTTCTAAATGCTATAATGTTTTTGCTCAAAAATACTCTAATTATTTGGCCAAAAAATACTATGAATACTATTATAATTCCGGCGGGAAAAAAACTTTTTTTGACCTGGTGTCTCTCTCTCTCTAAATGCAATAATCACTTTTTTTGACCTTGACCGAAATGTAATAATTAATTTAATCGAACATGGACGGAGAAGGAAAGCTACAATTACTATAATTTATACGAATTCATGTTCCAGCTAAGCTGTTTTATTCGAATCCTCGTTTGCCTTCAGCTCCAGAGTTCTCGGTGAGGGAAGAAACGAAGACTATGGCCATGGATTCACCATTCAAGCCAGATGTATTGAAGGGCAAGGTTGCTCTTATCACAGGAGGAGGCTCAGGAATTGGATTCGAAATATCCACGCAATTCGGCAAACATGGTGCTTCCGTTGCCATCATGGGTCGACGCAAGCAAGTTCTCGACTCTGCTGTCTCTGCTCTCCAATCCCTCGGAATACCGGTAATTTCTCCTTTGGAAATTGATTTTAAGATTCTGTCCACGGTCTTGAAATTTTCTTTTTTTTTTTCCTTTGCAATCCACCATCTTGAATGTTGAACTTTTACTTTCTCATCGTTTCGTTCGGGTTAATCAAATTCCTTCCTATTTCTGTGCTCCGCAACTTCGACCCAGTTTTGGGATTTCTTTGATTCTCTGGAAATAATCCGGCCGAGAAGAAAAACTTCAACTGTCGACCCATTCAGTCAGATGATCATTGGTATTTATTTTGTATTTAAAGAAGCAAACGCCAGACATAGGAACACTACCCTATAGGGATCTCTAGATGAAACAATGAGTTTAGATGTTACTTGGTATTAAATAACACATTATCAATAATAGTTGAGCTCACAACTTGCATAATTGTTATCTCGTACTGAAAATGGGACCTTTCCTTCTAACCGGGGCTTTCGTCCAAATAGTTATGGTTAACATGTCCTCATGCTGAAGTTAGTAATTGAGTTGAAATGAAAGGTCGATTCATTGGGCTTACAGAAAAGAAGGCTATCTGAATCGTACGTAGTAAGCAGTAACCTTGTTAAAAGAAGCTCACTGTAGTGACCTCTTATTATGCTTCTTATTTGCCTAGTTACAGGTTAATGACGCAACCATCAAAAGTAATGTTCGGAAGTGCTTATGCTATATGTATCCCCTTCCACTAACTACACCAGATTCCTTACTGGTTATTCGATGTCTATTATTAAGTGAGCCACGAGAATATCTATTTATTATGTTTTTTATTGTTGTCTATTCATTCACCTCTTGAGTGACGGATTGTGCATGTTCTCTCTTGATTGCTTATAGCCTTATAGAAAAGGGCTAAAAGCTGACATTGATGATCACTTTTCTTATGTAGTTTGTTGAAATGTCAATAGAGATGACATTTTTGTAATATATGTTGTGGAAATGGTCATTGATGACTATTTTTGGGCAATCTAAATCATTTGAGCATTTCACTTAGGCTATTGGATTTGAGGGGGATGTTCGCAAGCAAGAAGATGCAGCAAGAGTAGTGGAATCGGCCTATGAGCATTTTGGAAGGATTGACATTCTTGTGAATGCTGCAGCAGGAAACTTTCTGGTGTCAGCAGAGGATCTATCTCCTAATGGATTTCGAACAGGTTGTTTTACTTTAAGAATATTGGCTTGAATTTTTTTCCCCTTAAGGTGGGGATCCTAGCATAACATGAGTCCTAATCCTCTCCCATGATAGAGGAAAAGCAGCATGGAAAGAGAAGAAACAGGTTAATGATTAATGTTTAGCATACTTTATGTCAAGCAATTCTAAAGTGATATGGAGATGCATTTGCTTGTTAACGATGTCTCAAAAATTTTCTGTTTTATCAAATAAAGAAGGATGGTTAGAAAAAACAAGATGTTTTTTGGGGAATCTGAATTGTAGAACTTCTGGCCTTCAGCGAATAAAGATGAGTGAAAAATTTTTTTTTAACAAAAGAATTTACTGACACTCACCTTCTATCAATTTTTTATGTTATATGCTCCTGTTGGACTTAATGGTTATTATATGTATGAAACATTCATGTTTTCGCACTCTTAAAAGGCCTGACCACAATCTATGATCAAATATGAATGGTGAAATGCTGCTCAACTTGCAATTAAACTGTTGCTTAAGTAGTGATGTGGTGAGGGATGAAGAAATATTTTTATTCAACTTCCTGTCTTCTAGAAGCACTGGTACAGTGGTGTGCCAAATTTTAGAGGTAGTAGTTATGATGCCATTGACGGGACAACAACTATGCTGCTGCCAACAGTGGCCATGGTAATGTAGAACTGGCAAGAATAAATCCAGACAGAATTTTCCCTAGAGACCACTGCTAATGCACTTAAAAATCTGTAAATAGTTGAATAGTTTTGTGACTAGATATAATTATATTTGTGCCACTGTGCATGAGAACCCCTAAAGGCTAAAACTAAAGACACTTGGACGTTATTCGTGTTAAACCAGTTCAATCATAATCTGATTCTCATGCTACAAAATCCCCGATTGTCTACAGAAGGCATTCATCAAGAAGTTTGGTAAGGTAAAATGCGTCATTGTGTTTTAGGCTGAGTCAGTCTAAGACCTGTTTTTACATAACAAGTTGATTTTAGAACATAGGACACTCTGTTTTTCCTTCCTTTTTTTTTTTTCATGGACCTTACCGCAGTCTGTTAATTATTCTTATCGGGTACAAGAAAGGCAATATTGATCCATTCTAAATTTGTTTCCAGTTATGGATATTGATTCTGTTGGAACATTTACAATGTGCCATGAGGCACTAAAGTATCTCAAGAAAGGAGGACTAGGAAGGAGCTCTTCTGGTGGGGGGTCAATACTAAACATTAGTGCTACCCTACATTATACGGCTTCTTGGTATCAAATTCATGTGTCTGCAGCTAAGGTTTGTATTTACTTTTAATGTATTATATATTTTAGGCGATATTCAAAATTTAGAGAAGTATTGTAAATGAAGGAAATAATTGCTTGCTGTGTGTATTCAAAGTTAGTACTATTATGATTGCAATGTTACTGTATTAGTATAAATTGAATCTTAAGGGTTCATTCTTGCATGCCTTATAATTGATTCTTTGATGAAAGTAAGATAATATGAGATGACCAGGGTTCATTCTTACATGCCTTATAATTGATTCTTTGATGAAAATAAGATAATATGAGATGACCGACACCGCATTGAGTGGCATGAACTACTTTATCGGGAACTTAAATTGGTGGGGTCTCTTACATTAAAGTTACGTTGAAGGAGGATTTCTCACCCCAGTTAAGTGGCCATTAATTGTCATCAGAGCTTATGTTTGATGGCTCTAGATAGGGCTCTAGGTAAAGGATTATAAATGGTGGGGAGATGTAGTAAAGTGTCATCTATTGCGGCTGTTGAGATGTCAATTGTCCAAGGAGGCCAATTGATGGAGACCAATATAGTATGAGATGCTTAGTCTTGTATTTGGTATGGGCTACTTCGTATGATGCATGACTTTCAAACAAGTTGATTCTTCTGTTCCATTAGCTAGTTTTTAGAAAGAATTCTCCATCCTACTCGAGTGCCCAATCAATCTGTCAACAATATGTTTTGTTTTCTGTTCTTTCTTTTTGTTTCATCACTCTTTCTCACTCTATTATCTCAGCGATATACATGTGACATATACTTAGTTAACGTATTCTTCTCTGACAGGCGGCTGTTGATGCCACTACGAGAAACTTGGCACTAGAGTGGGGAACTGATTATGATATTAGAGTTAATGGGATTGCACCTGGTCCAATTGGTGATACTCCTGGCATGAGTAAACTGGTTCCTCAAGAAATAAATAGCAAAGCCAGAGAATACATGCCTTTGTATAGACTTGGGGAGAAATGGGATATTGCCATGGCTGCTCTCTACCTTGTATCAGATGCAGGTTGGTAACTTCATTTATTCATGCAAATACTCTGACTCGTAAACATCTTAAGTAACCCAACACAAATTGTTAGAAACTATATGGATTGATATGTAGCGAGTTAAAATTCAGGAATTGAGATGTATTGGTCCAAAGTTTAGAAATTGAATTAAGAACAAGTCAAAAGTATAGGAACCAAATAATTAATACATCTTTGAAAAATCTTGCGGGGAATGCTAAGCTTCGTCTGGTTTCATTTGCTCCTCTTGGTACATGTGTTCAGTGACTCCTCATTTTTTCCATTTCCCTATTTGTTTTCTTTGTAACATGTTCTGCAAATTCTTGAAGGAAAATTCGTCAATGGCAACATTGTGATAGTAGATGGAGGACTGTGGCTGAGCCGGCCTCGTCATTTGCCGAAAGATGCAGTGAAGCAGGTTTCACGAGTAGTTGAAAAAAGGTCCAGAGATGCACCAGTTGGTGTTCCAAGGAGCAAGATGTGAGGCTTTATTGGAAGAATGTCAGCCTCTAGCTAGTCACTTTCCCACAGATTTTTATGGAGAACAGACATATCATCTGCTCTTCGGTGCTTCCATCTTCTATGTCGAAGTTAGTAGAAAAATACAATTAAAAAAAAATCCTTAAATGGATTTAATTTACAGTAATTGATAAATTAATAAACTAAATCAATCTCTCTCTACACGAGCATGAGGCTCTTTGGTCTCACCCCAATCTAAAATGTAAAATACAATTTTGAAAAACATAAAATAGAAATTATGTTCAAAAGGAGAAAATTAAAATTAAAATTAGAATATACCACTATGAAAGAAGCGAAACTGTATTTGATTTCCTGCTTTTAAAAAGAAAATGTATGTATATACTACTATCTACTATTCTAAATATAAGAACTAATTTACTAATTTAAGTAAATTAAAAAAATAAGTTGAGTTAATTATTTGTAATAAATAAATGTTGTCTTTCTAAATATCTTTACTAATCAAATTTATTGGCTAGAACTATATTATTAGAAGAATTATTTTAAGAAAAAAATAAATAAATATGAGAGACAAAATGGATTGGGGTTTTACATTTAGGACTAAAATAAAAATCAAATGAGCTTTATATTAAAAACCGAGATAGTATTAAATTTACCAAATACACTATTAACTTATCATAACGGAAGAATTTTGATTTTTCCCCCCACGTCCTCTCATTTTTTTCCTCTCTCCATTCCTTCTCTATGGCTATCATTAAATAAAAGATTAATTGTTGAGATTTAATATTTTATAAACTGTTCGATAAAATTTCTTAAAAGTTCTCTTTATTTCCATAAAATATAATGGAAGGGCGCATCTAAAGTACCAAAAGTAGACTACAATCAAAAGTTGGACCAATGAACATTGGGCTGCGAGGTTGGTTTGGGAATTGCGAAGCAACTTCGGTCCATAGATTTGCTGCGCCCACAGGCAGTTCCCTCGGCCAATTGGGTGGCCAGCCACTCTGCAATAGCGCGCGTACCTTTCCCACTAAACCCAGAGACTCTCGCTCTTCCCACTATAAATCTTCTAGAATCTTCGCATCCGTTATTGCTTCGTTTCTGTCCGCTGCAAGTCTCATTTCACCCGCATTTTTGCATCTCTGATCATATCATATTCTCGTTCACCATTGTGAGTTTCGCTCTCAAATATCTTTCAACTTTTACGTGGTAGTTGGTTTGGTGTTTTTCCTTTGTATTCTTTTTTGTTCTGATCATTTTGGTTTCTGGGGATTTGGATTTGAAGGTATTGTTATGGCGACTAAGAGAAGTGTGAGTACCTTGAAGGAGGCTGATTTGAAGGGGAAGAGGGTGTTTATCAGGGTTGATCTGAACGTTCCTTTGGATGATAACTCCAACATTACTGATGACACCAGAATCCGCGCTGCTGTTCCCACTATCAAGTACTTGAGGGATCATGGTGCAAAGGTCATTCTTTCCAGCCATCTGGTATGCTATGCTTTCCCATTCAAACGCATTGCATTTTTTTTTTTAATTGATTTGAATTTGGTTTTTGTATTTTACATTATATATCGCCTGTTTGTATTAGCTTGGTTTTGTATTATGGAGCATTGGGGGCGATTCAGACGGCTATTTCATTTCTGAAACTATCTATATCCGAGGGTCTTAGATCTTCTGCTGAGTCTGTCCTTAGAAATTCGAACTTTAGATTTTCTGTTGAGCTGTCCTTATAAATTTTGAATGTCTACAAGCGATATCCTTATTTTATGAATGACTAGTGTTGGTTAACTTGCAATGTTATTCACCTTGAAAAATGCCATTTCCAGGGACGTCCGAAGGGTGTAACGCCGAAATACAGTTTGAAGCCCCTCGTGCCAAGGCTATCTGAACTTCTGGGAGTTGAGGTATGCCTTCTTCACTTTCCTGCTTAGTAAATTATTCGTGAGAACTTATTTTTCTTGACTGCTATCATTTTTTTTTTTTTTGAATAGAACTGCTATCGTTTTTAATCACCCTGTTATTTTCTCCTTATGACAGGTTAAGATGGCAAATGATTGTATTGGGGAGGAAGTTGAGAAATTGGTTGCACAAACCTCAGAAGGTGGTGTTTTGCTTCTTGAGAATGTGAGGTTTTACAAGGAGGAAGAGAAGAACGATCCTGAATTCGCAAAGAAGCTGGCTTCTCTTGCTGATCTCTATGTCAATGATGCATTTGGCACAGCCCACAGAGCTCATGCTTCTACAGAGGGAGTTGCCAAATATTTGAAGCCGTCTGTAGCTGGATTCCTTATGCAGAAGGTATCTAGGTGGTAAACTGGTAATTATTAGCTGTATCATTTATCTGGCTTATACAGTTTGATTTATCTGTAACTTGTTCTATTATTTCAGGAGCTTGATTATCTAGTTGGAGCTGTGGCAAACCCCAAGAGACCATTTGCAGCTATAGTGGGTGGCTCAAAGGTATCGACCAAGATTGGAGTTATAGAATCTTTGTTGGAGAAGGCCAATGTTCTCTTGCTTGGGGGCGGGATGATTTATACCTTCTACAAGGCCCAGGGTCATTCAGTTGGGTCATCTCTAGTGGAAGAAGACAAGCTCGATCTTGCTACTTCACTTATTGAGAAGGCTAATGCAAAGGGGGTCTCTCTTTTGCTTCCAACTGATGTGGTCATAGCTGACAAGTTTGCTGCTGATGCTAACAGCAAGGTACTAGCTTTTCATGGAAAATATTTGATGATATTATCTTTGTTGTTACTTTACGCGCTTATTTGATTACTGAGGTATGGGGACATAACTAGTGTGCTTGTACAAACTTGCAGAACACTTCATTTCTATGGGATAATTGATTGATTTATGTTATTAGCACTCTTTTGAAAGCGGCATTATGTGAATGAAGGAAATTTTATAATGACTATTTGTAGTAGTTTTATGATCTAAGTAGCGTGGTTTAAAAATTCTAAAAGTTTTGGTAATGCCTCTAGGTTGTGCCAGCATCAAGCATCCCTGATGGATGGATGGGGTTAGATATTGGGCCTGATGCCATTAAAACATTCAGTGATGCTTTGGATACGACTCAGACCATCATTTGGAATGGTCCAATGGGTGTTTTCGAGTTTGACAAGTTTGCAGCAGGAACAGAGGTATTAACCTGTTACACTCCACTTTCATTTTCTTACCAACTTATTTCCTCGGGCATATGACATCGAAGGAGCAAGTTTGCGGCATTTATAATAAAGGAAGCCCTTAAATTTTTTAACCAACTTATTTCCTTGTGTATATGACTCCATTAAAAACATATTAACTTGCTACATGAAGCCCTTAAATCACGCTGGACAAGTATTGATCACTGAGTCCATGATGCAGATTAATTTTCTTTGCTCTGGGCATTATCAGAGTGGGCTGTTCTCTTTTCTGTGCAGGCTATAGCCAAGAAACTGGCAGAGCTGAGTGGTAAGGGGGTGACCACCATCATTGGAGGAGGAGACTCGGTCGCTGCTGTGGAGAAGGTTGGGCTTGCCGACAAGATGAGCCACATCTCTACCGGTGGTGGTGCCAGCTTAGAGCTTCTTGAGGGGAAGCAACTCCCTGGAGTCCTTGCACTTGATGATGCTTGAATATAAAGTCAAAATGAGGAAGAGCCAGCGATTTGTGTATTTTTGTGCTGTTTTTATCGGTGAGTTTCAACCCGTACTGCCATTTAGTCATAACAGAGATGATGCTCTTGAAGCGGCGGCTAATATAGGGTAGGCCTGAAAATAAAAGAGGTTTTTGTGGCTTTATGTTGATGCGTTTGGTCTTTCTGAAGGCTGAAAAATGCTAATGTCCAAAGCATGAATTTTGCATTAGTTTATCTATATCTATTCTATGGTTTATCTGGTAGCCCCCAATCCTTTTTTCTTCCCCTTCCTTTTTTATTTTATTTTATTTTTTTGCTGTTGTTAATTGGGCTAACGGCTGTGGTGAAATTAAGGGCAGTACAGGCCTGCTAGTTTACATCGGAAATTGTTTGGTGAAAAATGCTACTTGTTACCAACAAAATCTTGTACTAAAGCATTCGCTCAAGTAATGTAAGCAATATGATGTGATCCGCAGATAATACTAGGAGCCTTTTACTCGAAATTGACACGGGATCCTTTTGAGACGAGGCTGGGCTGGGCCCGCATTTGCATGCGAGTTTTGACCCATCCTCTTCTTCATGGGCCGCTATTGAGTTGGTCCGGGTCAACCGTTTTGGGCGCATTTTTCAATCCTTTTCTTCTTCCTTAAACCATGACAAAATTGGATCCCAAAATTCTGAATTTAGACCATTTACCATAATAAAGCACCTCAAAATTTAAAAGGTATTAAAAAAAATAGGATAAAAAATCTTGCGGCCGTTAACTATGAACATATAACTCCATAGAGGAATATGCTCAGTTGAACATAACATCAAATTATTATAATTTTTTTATGTTTTTAATTTATTTTTACATTCAATTTTATAAAAAAAGAGAAATTATGGACCAATGACAAAAGAAAAAGTCCAAAGCCTAAAACGGTTTAGTCCAAAGTAAAAGGTAAAGTATATATTTGGTTCTTAAATTTTGTACAAGGTTTTAATTTGGTCTTTAACTTTAAAAAGTATACTTTTAGTCCTTTAACCTTAAATTTTTTTTAAAAAAATGATGACATTAGGATCTTAAATGTTGATAAAATATTCTTAAATGCTAACATATTAAGTTTAATTTTCAAAACATTTATAATTGTTACAAAAAAGTCATCATTAAAGCCTAATGATTTTAGAGCTCAAGGACCAAATGTTTGTTTTTTAAAATTAAAGGACCAAATATGTACTTTAGCCAAATATAAATGATTAAGGCCTCGTTTAGAATGATGCAAATCAAAATAATTTTTCTTACAACTATTGATCTTATATTCTATAAATCACAGTTAAAAAATTGCTTACAAACTATTTCAAATAGGCCCTACAAAAAGGGGACGTGGAAGGGGAGTTGTGTAGCTTATTCTTCCCCGGCAGAAGGCATAATTGAATATGAAGGGTGTTTAGTGTTGCTGGTGAAATAGAATCTACACCATGTCACAAGGAAGGGACATTTGTTCTTTTATTCAGCAACCACAAAAAGTATTCGTTCTCCAGATCCTCTGCTTTAGCATAAATCAATGATCGGTCATCCCTTGATTCTGTAAGTAACACCATTTTCGCGTTCCCATGTAAGCTGAGTAGAAAGTGAGGGCGAAAGTAATCAATTCAATGATCAACCAAAGTTTTCAGACATGGCATCTCTTTTGAAGGACAAAAGTCATCAGCTTTAATTTTCTTTCCATAACTTTCCCGGAAAACAAAAATGCCATCCTTTTCTTGCCGTGAGGTTAGAATGAACATATATTTTTCTAATTTTTCGTATTATTCTTTCTTCAATAATATGTTATACATCATGTAATTAACCAGTGACCACAGAAGATCAATATTACAAGCACAAGTCCAAAAAAAAAAAAAACCATTCTAAAAAACTAGCCTCAACCGAAAGAACATTTTGAACTTATAAACCATACTCTACTTGTGAGGCTCCCAATCCAAGACTCACAACAATCAAAGCTGGTTTCCTATATTATATTCATGTGCGACAGATGATAACTCGTATTTTGGTTTTAATTAATATTACTATCTACTTAGCAAATAAGCTGCTTCAAATTTGCATCCATAGAACAAATAAGTGAAGATTGCTATAATACAACACAATAAATAATGGTCTCCATACATTGAATAAAAAAATGGTCTATGTACAAATCAGTGCAAATGTATTCATTCTGTCATCTAGAATCTTAACTTTGACTCCACTTGGACTAACTTCCTATATATATAGACACACTCGAGTTAGAATGCCATCTCAATCTATAGTCTTTACCCAGCAACTTCTCAGCCAAACAAAAATGGCTGAGTCTTCAAAGCAAAGAGGAAACTCACTAAGTTTGTTGCTACTGATGTTGTTAATGTTTTTGACCAGAGTGGATGCTAGAATTCGGCATTACAAATGGGAGATGAAGCATGAATACAAATCTCCAGATTGCTTCAAGAAGCTGACTATAACCATCAATGGAAGGAGTCCTGGACCAACAATCTTGGCACGGCAAGGTGATACAATCGTGGTTGAAGTCAAGAACAGCCTGCCAACAGAGAATACTGCAATTCATTGGCATGGTATACGACAGGTAATGCCATAGACTATAATTTCCAGGCAGAGAATATTAAAACTGGGAAGTTTAATGAAAGCATTCCCGTTTATATTATAATCTTTTCACATTAAATGCGTTAAATACACATCGCTCCCTTTTATTTTGAATATATACACAGACAAATCTTAACTGCTGAGGCATAAATTGTAATGTTGTATTTTTGCATTATTGATATTTGATGGCAGAGAGGAACACCTTGGAGCGATGGAACAGAAGGGGTTACTCAATGTCCCATTCTACCTGGGGATACCTTCATTTACAAGTTTGTTGTTGACAAGGTGGGCTTCTGTGATGCTATAAGGCCAGTAGCCATAAGAACGTAGCTAAAAAGCAGTTTCATCTAATTATTTGTGGTGAAACATTCAGGCTGGGACATTTTTATACCATGCACATTATGGCATGCAAAGGGAAGCTGGGCTAGTTGGAACCATTATTGTAACACTCCCTGAAGGGGAATCAGAGCCCTTCACCTATGACCACGACTATAACATCCTTCTCACTGACTGGTACCACAAAAGCACTTCTGATGAGGCTATAGGCTTATCCTCTATACCCTTTGTTTTTGTTGGAGAGCCTCAGGTAATTAAGCCGCATCACATGCTAACAGAGCATGTCCATAGTACAAAAACAAAGTGAGATATATTTTGTGTTTTTACAAAGTGTTTTGTTTTATGTTCTTTCAGTCATTGTTGATAAATGGAAGAGGAAGGTTCAATTGCTCTCTCCTGGGTCCTTCTAGCTCAGTAAACAAGGTGTGCAGTACAACAAATTCTGAATGCTCACCATATGTACTAACAGTTAACCCCAGTAAAACATACAGACTCCGGATTGGCAGCTTGACTTCCCTCTCGTCTCTCAGTTTCCAAATTGAGGTACTTTAGCCAACTTGCATATACAAGTCTATAACTATAACTTGGGTATCAGTGACCCAAAATGTCATATGTTGTTTAACATGAGTGTCTAAATTTGAAGTGTCCAGACTCGGTATGCCTACACAATTTGTAGTGTTTTAACTGTGTTGGTGTTTGAGAAATTGTATGATTTGTTTTGCAGGGTCATAAAATGATTGTTGTGGAGGCTGATGGGCACTACGTGGAACCCTTTGAGGTAGAGAACCTATACACATACTCTGGTGAGACATACTCAGTGCTTCTGAAAGCCAATCAAAATCCATCAAGAAACTATTGGATCACCACTAATGTTGTCAGCAGAAAACCCTCAACCCCGTTAGGGTTAGCAATCCTCAACTACTTCCCCAACCATCCCAAAAGACTGCCCATAACAGTTCCACCACCAGGCCCTGTTTGGAATCACACTTCATCTCGCTTATCTCAAAGCCTTGCCATCAAAGCCAGGCATGGGTTCATCCAAACACCACCTCCCAAGGCAGATAGAGTCATAGTGCTTCTCAATACCCAAAACACTATAGATGGCTACAAAAAATGGTCCTTAAACAATGTTTCTTTGACTCTTCCTATCACCCCCTACCTAATTGCCCTAAAATATAAATTAACCCATGCTTTTGATGATCAAACATCACCTCCAGAAAACTACGATTCTGCAAATTATGATATCTATAGCGTACCTCGGAATGTGAATGCCACTTCAGGGAACGGAATTTACAAGCTGGATTTCAATTCCACCGTGGATGTGATTCTGCAGAATGCTAACACGTTGACCCCAATGAACAGCGAGACGCATCCATGGCATCTCCATGGGCACAACTTCTGGGTTCTAGGGTTTGGGGAGGGGAAGTTTGACAGTGAAAGTGATGGTAAGAAGCTGAATTTGGTGAACCCAATATTGAAGAACACTGTGCCCCTTCATCCTTATGGATGGACGGCTCTGCGATTCCAGGCCGATAATCCTGGAGTGTGGATTTTCCATTGTCACATTGAATCTCACTTCTATATGGGCATGGCGGTAGTGTTCCAGGAAGGTGTGGATATGGTGGGCAATTTGCCTTCTTCCATTTTGGGCTGTGGGGCTACCAAAGAATTCCACAGGCCTTGAGTTCCATGCTCCTGAATCAAACAATTATGGGATCTTCAAGTGTTGTTAAACATTAGGCTTAGAATCTCAATTTTACCAATCAGACTGAAGTTGCAGTGCCAGATCACATGAAATTTCAACAAGTTTTCACATCAGTTATAGCCTTTGTTCACCATTGAATAAACACTGTGCCTTTCATTTTCCAGTTCCACATTACCAAATCTATTGAAGATTTGCTTAGTGATCTTCGGTAGATTTTGATGTTCCCGCCTGCCTCCCACCACATATATGATAAATTTTTCTTGGGAAAATTATACTTAGGTCTCACAGAAGATAATTAATTTTAAAAAAGTCCCTAGAAATCTCGAAATGATTCCTAAGTCCTCAGGTACTTATGTGTAATTAATTATAATTGTGAAATTACTTATTTATCCCATTAATTTGAACCCATTGTAATTTATTTCCAACTTCAACAGTGACTATTGACAACCCGAGGAGAGGTAGTTAACAACCTCGGCAATGCCCTTGGCATCTCACAGAGTGAGTTGTCATGAGCACTGCTGAGGTTGTTAACCACTTCTTCTCAGGTTATCAACAGCCACTGTTGAGGTTGTAAATAAATTGTTGCAATAAAATTAATGGGGTAAATACGTAATTTCATAATTATAATTAATTACACATAGGTCCCTGAGGATTTAGGAATCGTTTCGAGATTTTTAGAGACTTTTTTGAAATTAATTATCTTATGTGAGACTTGAGTGTAATTTCCTATTTTTCTTGCCCCTATTTTTTTAAAAAGAAAAATCATTAAAAAAAACCTCCAAAATTAAAAAATTGTATACAAAGACTCATTCACAAAAATTATTATTAAAACCTATACTATTAAAACTTATACTAATATTATAATATATCTCTATATACAATTGTTTTATTTTAATGGTTTTTTTGTGAGTTTCTCCCTTTTTTTCCTTCCCGACCGGAGGGAATATATGTAATTATATATCTTTCAAATCCGAACATCAATATCCAGTCCCCAAAAAAAAAAAAAAAAACCTAACATCAATATATCAGATAAAATTTACCAAAAAATTTCTTATTAATGGAACATTAATAATACTAACTACTTTTAGATTTCATGTTAAATATACAATCTAGTAACAGGTGATTATCCAATTTATATCTTTTATCCAACAAACGTCTAAATGAGCAAGAACAATTGTCTGACTTGAAATTAGAAACAATCTAAATCGTTCAACATTTATTTATGGTGTCATCTGAACTTTATTTCTTGTCTCTATTTTTTAATCATCACTGATGCTTAATAGTTATGCTACTCGGAGGAAACAAATAAAAAATTGAATATGGAAATGATTCAAAACCATTTTGAAATCTAATTATTTTCTGTGCTTAGTATTAGAATCGACATTGTAAAAATAAAAAGATATAATATTTATTTATTCTGGATCTTCTAATAATAATTGCATGCGCATATATGTTCATAGAAAGAAATATATTCTAAGACTTTACTCTCTGTTTTTCTTTTGGCCGATATTCCAAGAGACCAAGACTTTACTCTTTTTTGTGTTTATTTAATAATACAAATAAGCAGATAGTTAGAGAAAGAAAGGTTAATCTTTTTTTTTCCCCCCTTCAGAAAGAAAGCTTAATCAATTTACTTAATAATCCACAAATAAAAATATTTTATCTTTTCTTAGTGAAAAGACCCATTTGCTTAAAGATAAAAATTAATTCAATTTTAAAACTATCTAATTGGTATAGTTTGAAAATGCATGGATGGAAAACGGCTCATTGGGAGCTGGGGAATTAATGCATTGCATTTCATAAACTATTAATGCATTAAATCTCATCCAAAAAATTATTAATGCATTAAATCTTTTTTTTGGTGACATTAATGCATTAAATTCTTGTTGCCATGTATCTATTAATGCATTAAATGCCTAATATACTCTTTGACCAGTTTTTTTGTATACCTTCTCTTTGACCAAATTTTCCGAATATAATATGTATATACATATAGGTCGGCAAAAAACCTATATATATAAAATAATACTTACATCAAAATTTTTATATTTATTATGTTATGTTTTCCAATCACATGTTTTATTTTTAAAATATTAACATATAGGACACATGATCAGATAGATTAGAAAACTCAACATAGTAAATATAAGAAACTTAATATAAATATTTCATATATATATATATATATAAACAAGGATATGTTTTCAGAAAGAAATTTATATGAATACTACGAAAAAAAATTTATTGAAACTTTTTGAGGAAGTTGTCTGAAAGTTTAATACATTTAACAACAATTACCAAAAAAAAATTGATATCAGTCAAATGATTCATGATTCAAAAACTGTGTGGCTTACTAATAATTTTATTTTTTATATTAAATTATCGTTATAGACTGCTTATATTTTCATGAATATTTTTAATCGTTTTTTATATACCATTATTCTTTATAAGTGTGAATCTTTGTAAAAAAAATTAATCTAATCAATTAAGTTTTTTTAGTTTATTCTTAATTATTCTTACAGCTTTTCTAGACTAAAAATAGGCAACCCTATATTGAAAAAAACAATGTTATCGGATGAAATAAATGTCAGGGGGAAAGAAGAAGAAGAAGAAGTATGAAATAAATTGATCTCAATATCCATTATCATTAAGCTGTCGGGTGTGTCCTTTTTCTTTTCGGTATGAAACCAGACATATAAAAAAATTAATATTAACTTAAAATACTTATGTTTTACCATGATAATCATATATTCATCTATTATTTTTTAAACTTGAAAAAAAAAAGCATTGATTTTGATTCCTAATTATCAAACATTTTTTCATTAATTTTGTAATTGAGTGGTCTCATACATAATCAAATTTCAAGCCATATATTTAAAATTAAAGTATGAATAATGCAGAAAAGCCCTACACAGTGAATAATATCCGTCTCCCTCCTCCCACAGAGGACTAAGCATTGAAACGTTGACTTCCCTCCAACAAACATTCTTTAATTACTTCACTGCAAAGTAATTAATCAAATAAGGAAGGAAGCAGAAGAGTAGAGAAAGACAGAAGCCAGCATGGAAAGTAATGAAGCCAATCGGAGAAAGTCCTCAAAATGGGAGTGCAGAAATGGCCTGCACAGTGCCACACTGGATTGAGGCTGCAGAAGCTGACAGATTCCACCGCTCTCTCTCACCGATCCCACTGCAAAACGCACGACAATAGTTTTGATTCAGTGTATATGGCTCATCTTTTGTAATTTATACCAGTTACCATTTTCTGGTATTGGCTCTTTATATTGCTTCTCTGCAAGCACACTTCCCCATAGTCACACCATTCATGGTTTTCTTCTGTTTCTCTTTGACCTAAGAGTCTGAATCATGCGTTAGCAATTTGTGGTTCATTGTATCATCAGGTCATCAGTTTGATATAGTGTTTAATTTGTGTGTGTGAAATTCTGCTAATTCATATGTTGTTATTTGTCTCAGGTCTGTTGATCGATCATCAGTTGTGGTTCATTGTATCTCAGGTCTGCCTGTTTCATTTGAGGTTGATAGTTTGATGGCTTCTTTCATTTGACCCTTCTTTTGATTTTGTAAGAGGGTTAGATCCTGGCTATTCGAGGATTGCTGGTGGAGGCGATTGTTCCAGAATTTTGCGTTTTATGGTAGTTAGATTCCAGAATTGAGCCCCAAAGTTTGAAACTTTTGAACATATCAAAGGTCTTGATCCTGGACTTGGATCCTCTCTAGTCGCTGCACACACCTGTATCTCTTATTTAGATCTCCTACTGCACAATGCAGTGGTTGCAGATTCTTGAGTTGTTTTGATCCCACACATATTTTAGGAAAATCACTAGTCTAGCTGGAAATTAAATTTCCACTGGTGAGGTAAGTGACCAATTTAATCAACATGATCATAGTCACTAAGGACATAAAAGATTTATTTAGGAGTGAATTTGAGATGATTGAGGAAATGGCCAGGTGGAGTGGATATCTGTAGTCGTAAACTCGCATGAATATGTCAGATTGAGTGTTTAGTATCAGATCAAGCACTATTGCGGTTCGATTTCACTCTAAACGCCTCGTTGAGTCTTACAAGGCTGCACGTTGGCCCACCCAACAGGATAATGCTCATCAATTGGCAGTATATATGGGATCCTCCCTTAGGGTTTTAAGTTCGAAGAGATGGTCATGTAATTAATGGTAGAGGTCTATATAGGATTCCTACGTGAGTCTTACCTTCCTAAGTGTTTCTTTTCTTTTCTTTTCTTTTTTTCTGTGGGTGAAGTTCTCCTCCATTGTAAGAGGTTTTCATCAGATTTGAGATTAATTAATGCACCTAGTTTCATGAAAATAAACCCAAAAGTTATTATTATAGCCTGGGAGACTCATACTGGTTTTGAGGATCAATTTACTGTGATTGTGTTCAAAACGAAGACTAGCTAGCACAGCCTTGAGTTTGCGCATATGCTTACTTTGAACACTTAAGAATCATGGTAATAGAAATGAACTTGTGTTTGATTCTCTATTTGCCTTAGACTTGGAGCGAAACTTGCGCAGTTTTACTGGCTTACATTAGCACCAAAGTTTCTGTCCCATATGATTAGGCCTTGGGGTTCGAATACTTGTATAAATAATAAACTGAACTTTAGCATGATCACCGTTATGTATATAGTTCCAGCTTAACTCGCTTTCTATATGAAGTTTCATCAAGTTTCAGTTGAGCAAATTAAATTGCATATGAATGTGTCAGAACTTTGAGAAGATTCCCAAAAGAGAGATAGGTGTTTAAAGCTCTTAATAATTTGGAGGAGGAGTCGTTTCCACTTCGTTAATTACTCTATCCTTAATTCTTTTACTATAATTATAGTAGGAGAGTTTTCTCAGCTTATTAGGGCAATCCCCTTTTCTTAATATTGTGCTTTAATGATTTGTTGATGCACTCTACCATATTTTTTTATCTTATTCATCAATAATAACTAGTCTGAGCATTAATTTTTTATTAAACCAATCACATATATAAACAACGTATTAATTAAAACATCATAATCAAAAGAAGTCACGTCTCCACATAATTTGCAATAGTTGAACGTTGATGCTCCTTTGTAGTTGCTTTTTATTGTGAATATATTCAATATGAATAATTATATGTCTTTGACGTTCCCCTTGATTCTCTCGTAACATTGTAAGCTATTTGA